AATTAAAATTGATTTGATGTAAAAGTATGAGGTATATGATTGGAAATGATAGGTAGTTAAAATTGCGTGAGTGGATTAATAGTGATTTAATGTAATGTGTAAGAATAGTTGAATGATATTATTTAGTTATATTTATAACTAGTACAACGTCCGTGTATTACATGGGTGCTGCTAAATTTTTCTTAAAATCTAAAATTAATGAGGAAAAGTAGTTGAAAAAATAAATATCTTTTATAAAAATATATATATTATTATATATTTAGTATGACACTTTTTATTTCTGCAACTCACATGTGTTATATTATAATAATCTTTGAACTTACAACATATAACTACATTAGACATAAATATATCAATTGAGAAATAATTTTATTTTTTCTAATGAATTTTAATAAATATTATTTTTAGTATTATAAAATAAATATAATTTATTTATTTCATATATACAATATGGATGTCAAATCGAAGATCATCAAAAGATGATTAATTTCATATATTATATATGTAAAACCGATAAGAAATACAAAAGTTATCAACTTTTAAAATACATTTATAATTCAATAGCTAATTGAAGAAAACAAATCAAAAGTCAGGGATATATTAGTCACCCTCAGTATGTAAAATTACAAAGAAATAAAGGTTATATTAGTATAAGTGATATTAAAGTACCTAAGTTAGCTAAATAATATTTATGGAATGTCCAAACCTAAATTATTAATTATTAATATATCAATATTATTTGTCCAAACATAATTACGAAGCATGATTCTTTGCCAAGTATGATTCCGAAGCACCAGAAGCAACCACGTAGGCTCAGCGCATTCGGTAATTATATATAGAGAGGAAGAGGATATTGAAGATGATGGGGTTGAGTTAAAATCGAGTTATATTTAGAATTGAGATATAATTTATTTTCTAGAAATTCGATAAACAACTCCAAAAAATGAGAGAAGAAGAATGTGAATGGAAATTTTTTTTGCACAAGATAAATTCGTATGTAATAAGTACGGTATAAAAAATTCTAAGCGCTTTTTTATTTTATATTACTCTGGCTGACAAAAATTTCTGCATCAACCGCTGTACATTAGATTATGTAAATTTGACCATTTGTTTTGATTAACATCTATTTTGATTGCCGCATTTTATGAAAATGAATAATATAAAAAAGAAAAAAAAAGAATAATATAAATGTTTATTATAAATATATGAAATTACCACTAATATTAATATATATGTTATCTTGTTACTTGAAATGTGTGCCAATAGGCTCAAACTTTTGCCTATAAAAAGGCATCTTCAGCTTTGTATAATTGGTACGAAAAAAGAGAAAGAAGAATAGCACCTTATAATTTTGATCCGGTTTTTATATTGTGTTCTTTATATTTCTCGCATTTTACAACACGTTATCAGCACGAACGCTCTACCCAGTCAAGAAAGGTAGGATATATATACATATTACCATTATTCTTGACAAGTTAGGCTCTGCCACAGTCAAGGATATATATACATATTGCTATTATTTTTGACAAGTTAGGCTCTGCCACAGTAAAAAATATATATATTACTATTATTCTTGACAAGTTAGGCTCTGCCACAGTCAAGATATATATACTAAATATGATATTATATACACGTTATCATTATTATTGGCAAATTAGGCTATGCCATAGTCAATAATATGTGGTGATATGATATTATTAAATTTGCTTATGAATTATTATCAAGTTATAATAAACGTTATTACTTATACTTAACACCCACAAAAATGGTTTACCCAGTAATGTGGCGTGAAATTTATAACTGCTTATTCTTGTATCCACCGAAAGATTTATCGAGTAGTGTGGAGTGACATTTTTATTTATTAAATTGTTTACGTAATGATTCGGTGAATTTTTAAGGTAATATACATGATTAATTAGAATTTTATGGTCATAAATGATTAATTAACAAATATTATATCATTACATTTGTTTCCAACGGCTAGTTAATGGTCATTTTTGTAACGGTTATTTACCAATATCTATATATAACACTACAATTCATTTTCATAATCCAAACACTCAAAAATATATTTTCTTTATAAGAAAAAAAAAATATTTGATCCATTACTTATAATTACCATTATCTTGTTTATTATATACGTTTTGCTAATTTTCACGATGATGTATCGTACTGTTGGATTTAAATTTTATGTATTAGGCCTTTGTATAATGTGTTTAGTATTTGCTCTTGTGTACGTCTTGAAGAATTAATGATTGTATATGTAATTTTTCGAATCTAAGCATTGATGTTTTATTTTATAGTTATCATGGCAAATCTGGTCAAACTCGAATTCGAAGCTCTCGATATCTCTGGGAAAAATTATATCTCATGGACATTGGATGCCGAAATTCATTTGGCGGCAAGGGGATGGAAAAAACAATAATATCCCCAAATGATTCATCAATACAGGATAAAGCTAAAGCAATGATATTTCGAAGGCATCATTTGAATGAGGCTTTGAAAAATGAATATTTAACTGTTAAAGATCCTGCGGATCTATGGAAAGCCTTGAAAGAAAGGTATGATCACCAGAAAACGGTGATTCTCCCCCGGGCTCGTTACGAATGGATGCATTTACGCTTCCAAGATTTCAAAACTGTTAACGAGTACAATTCGGCCATGTTCCGCATTTGTTCGGTGTTAAAATTATGCGGAGAAAACATAACTGATTACGATATGCTGGAAAAAACGTTGTCCACGTTCCACGCTTCAAATGTACTATTGCAGCAACAATACAGAGCAAAAGGCTTTGTAAAATATTCTGAGTTGATTTCTTGTTTGCTGTTGGTTGAACAAAATAACGAGTTGTTGATGAAAAATCATGAATCTAGACCGACGGGGTCTACTGCGGTCCCTGAAATAAATGTTGTAATATCTAAACAGGGAACCGGAACTGAAAACAGCCAGACATATGTGCGTGGAAGTACCTCAGGACGTGGCCAGGGTCGTGGACGTGGCCGTGGCCGTGGCCGTGGATATGGCCCAGATCGCCGATTTGACCAAGGCTTCAAATTTCACAAAGGGTACAACTCGGGCCGAGGGAATTATCGTGGACGAGGTCGTGGCTATGTCAAAAATTATGAAAGGGGGAGAAATTTCCAGCCAAAATTTGAACAAAATAATGTGACGGAGAATAATAATGAAAATGCATGTTATCGATGTGGAAAGACGGGACATTGGTCACGAAACTGTCGTGCTCCGAAACACGTTGTTGATAAATATAATGATTCTCAGAAATCAAAAGATAAAAATGTAGAAACTAATTTTATAGTTGGGGAATCCTCTGAAAATAATACAACACGTGTAGATGATGACTATGGCATCGATGACATGTTGAACCTG